GGAAGGGGGGGGGGGGTAGTGCCACAAGACCCGCCTGGTCCAGAAAACAAGGTCACGTTCTCTGCGCAACCGCGGGGTTGCCTCATTCTTGGCTCCCGGGGCTGGTGCGGGGGCGGCGAGCCTTCCTCCGCTACTTACTCCGATCGGATTGTAATTAGACGCTTCAGGAAGGAAGGCCTGAGGCGTTTTTCTCTCTCCGACCGTGGTTCATGTAATAAAACTCGTGCAGTCATTGAGGAGGAACGGAGGGTACCTTTCTGCATCCGGGCGCTTTTCCCGTCACCCCTCCCCCGCCGCTCGCCCCGTTTTTCTCTCCTGCGGGCTGCACGGCCCGATTGGAAAGCAGAAGACAAAATCTTAAGTGTGTGAGAGGGAATAACCGCCGTTGAATATTGGAGATGAAGGAGCAGAGGCTTTAGCTTGTGCTCTTTATCTTCCGGCAGGGACATTAAGGTAAATGTTGCACAGGATTTACAGGAAAAGGGATTGCGATGATCTGATGTGCTTCCCTGACTCCCAGGCGCAGGTGCGCCTCCTCTCCAGTCCCCCTCGAAGTGTCATGGCTTCGCAGCTATCCGAGCAGTCTGGGCCTAAGCCGTAGGTGGAAACCCCCTCAGCAGCCCTTTTGCTATCAGGAACTTCTTAACGGTTTCACACGGCTGGTGTGTGGCCAACCTTGGATGGCAGCCCTGCTATTGGGCCCTTCATGCTATAATGCTTCCCAGTTTCTAATACAATTCTATTGGAATTAAGTGTGCACTGTGTACCTCATACTATTAGGTATTGGATATAGAGAAGTAAACTGTTGCTTTCATCTAGAGTACACACAGTAGTATGAAGCTCTGTTCTAGTAGCTCTATGTAAGCTACAAACTCTGAAATGTACCCGTTCCTAAAGCTAGTTAAAATTTCTGTTTCCTTAAAATGAAGCCCATTCCATTTCCATTTCCATTTCCATGCATTCACCCGGAATATTCCAGCTAATTCTCCCTATTCTCTTCCTGCTCAGTTGGGTGTTAAATATTTTACAAAAATGTATAATCTGTAAACTGTTAGGACCATCACTCAGACCTTATGGGTCCCACCAGTTATGTTTTAACCAGTGGTAACTGCTTAGGTACTCAGCTTGTGACCTTCTTTCTAGTTGTGACGCAGGAAGAAGAGCTCTGCTGAGTTCTGAGATTTGATTCCTTAATCTTGCTAAAGTGTCCTGTTTACAAAAAAGAGGGTTAGAGTAAATGATTTCCAAAGCCCCTTCCAGCTGGACCATTGGTGGTGGCAAAGCAGTCACGTACCCTGACTGCTCATACAATTCAAGCTTACCTCCAACAGTATCTCTAGAGCTGCCACACCTGAATAGGTGTGCTTGTGCCTTGAGAGGGGAGGGTGGGTTTCATGGGTCCCTGAAATGATCTTAATGGCTACAGTGTATTGAAAACCTGTGACATTGCAGGTAACTGTTAGGAATGAATAGGTTGTCAGTTTTTTTAGATTCATCAACAGCTCCAAGGAGTATTAGCCACGTTTCATTTCTTGCATGAGAAAAACAGATGAGCAGAGCCTCTGGCCCTGGGCCCACTGTAAGTGAGTAGCAGAGTTGGGATTCTTGGAAACCTAAATATTCTCAGGTAAACCAGTGCTTTGCCCCTCCCCTTCCTTTTCCTCTCCAAATGCTTACCCGCCTTGTGGATGTCTCCTTTGCAGTTGGCTTTATCGCTCTTTCTGCTCCCTTGTGGTTTCCTTCTCTTACTGGTCAGAGCTGCAGCTGCCAGTTCCTGGGAGACACGGTGCTGTGTGTCCCTTTTCCCTCCTCATTGCTGGGCCTTCGTCGAAGCTCCTCCTACATTTTCTTTTTCATTTCTCATTCACATACCTCGACTCCAGTTTTTAATTTTAAGTGTTGTCATGCTCCTCTTAATAGTACAGGACTCTTTTTCTCTGTTGCATAAAATAAGTTTTTCATGATTTTTAAAAAAATATATCTTTATTGATTTCAGAGAGACAGGAGGGGGAGAGAGAGAGGGAGGGAGGGAATCATCACTGATGAGAGAGTCATTGATTGGCTGCCTCCTGCACGCCTTCCACTGGGGATGCAGCCTGAAACCCAGCCACATGCCCCGACCTAGAGTCAAACCAAGATCTCCTGAATCACAGGTCGATGTTCAACCCCTGAGTCATGCCGGCCGGGCTGTTTTTCACTATTTTAATTGGTCCTGTGAACTTTAAAAGCTTCAGACCCTTCCTTCTAAGCCAATCCTTATGTATCAGTACCATAACTTTGTGAAAGAGATGCTGGAAAGTTATCTTCCCTTTACTCATTGAAATGCTGAAGCTCAGCTTGAACAGCTACTAGGAATACTTGAGCGGTGCTTATTTCTGCTTCTTTAACTTTCTTACACTTCCCATGTCTTCTATCTAGGGTGATAATATTTTGTAAACTAAAAGTCTAAAGCTCATGATTTTATGGTAGATTTAAAATATTTAAAATTTTAAAATGTAATATACATGATATATAAATCTATAAATGCTAAATGTATTTTTGTAATGTCATATAATTTAAATTTACATATTTAAAATTTTAAATATTTAGTCATCTATTTTATACACTTACATTTATAAAAGTCTAATTTTTACATAGCTTCTTTTTTTTATTACAGAAATATATGATTTTTCTAAACCTTCAAGTATTATAGAAATATTTATAGACATGTAAAATCGCTTGTGCCCAGCAGGGCATGGCTCAGGAGTTGAGCATCGACTTAGGATCCAGGAGATCGAGGCTCGATTCCAGGTCAGGGCACATGCCCAGTTTGCAGGGTCCATCTCCGGTCGGGGGGTGTGCAGAAGGCAGCCGATCAATGACAACGACTCTCTCATTATTGATGTTTCTCTCTCTCTCTCTCTCTCTCTCCCTCTCCCTTCCTCTCTCTGAAATCAATAAAGATATATTTAAATAAATAAAATCCCTTGAAAGCCTAACATAATATTGATAAATGGGTTATTGTACTGAGATTATATTACAGAATATCACACTGTAAGGACTATGTTACTACTTACTTTTTTTACTTGGTAAAACAGTGTCTTGAACATTTTCTTTTGCAATCATTCCCCAAAATTTGACAAAATATAAAATTTATACCACGTCTATAGCTTTAATAAATGGCATTTATAAGAAAGAAAGCTAACAGGTACTCTGGACCATCTGAGAAAACCCAGGCAGTCTTAATGCTCTAATTAAGTACCTGAAAGCATATATCCTATACCTTACAGGTAACTTGTAATTACTTAAAATCAAGGTTCTTTTTACTTTTCATCACATGCCCTTTCATCTTCTTGTTACTGTAGTAATAAAACTACACCCTTCCAAAGAAAGCCCATTTCCCCATACATTTGTAAGGGGTGAAGGAGAATAAGAAATGGGACTAGTCAGACTCACTTCAAATGGGCAACTGTAGGATGTAGAAGGGAAAATACTAGGATGGATTCTGTAGTTTTCATTCCCCACTCTCTGCCTCCCCTCCCAGGTGATCGTGGAGAAGGCTCCCAAGGCCAGAGTGCCTGATCTGGACAAGAGGAAGTACCTAGTGCCCTCTGACCTCACTGGTAATGCTCCTTCCCTTGACCCTTCCTCCTGTGGCAAAACATTCCCAGTCCTTCCTGCATGCATGAGATTGTGAGACTGAGGAAGGAGGGTTCAAGAAAGGGGGATTCTCTGGAGTTTGATAATTAAAAAGTGGATATAATTCTTCCATCACCAGTTCCCTTAAGCATTTCCCATCATAGCACCTTGTTTGATTTAGACACAGCAAAGTGCAAAACATTCAAAGAGAAGATCAAATGTCCATTATTTAAACCACTTAAAATCAGCTTTGTTACTGCGTTGTCATTTTATTCCAAAAGGAAAACCAGACTAGTTTCTTGTGAGGATCACATTTTAGAGATTCTCAAATGGATATCTTGTCTCCTTAAGCCACGTTTTTTGGTTAATAACAGTTTTATAGATACTGCTTAGAATTGCAGAGGATATATTCATGCTTTACCTCGATCCTTAGTGGAATAATCACTGCATCCAGGAGACACTAGAAAGATTTTTGTAGTTATGTTTGCTCCAGAGTTATTAGATTTAAGTATCAGCCTTCTAGAACGTCAGTGTACTTGGTAAACGGAAAAGCGTTGGACTCCACTCGTGGTCCCAGCTTTGGAATGAGTGGTACTACGATTACTGGAGTCTGGAAGTCCTCTTCTCATGACTAGTTTGTCTTGGGACGGAAGTGAGTCTCAAATCAGATTTAGACAATGATGGGAATGTTTCCGGCTGGATAGACCTGGTGTTGTCCTCAGGCTTTGAGTGGATATGCTAGGGTTAGGTCTGAAATCGAGTGAAAGATGGGAAGTTTCCGATGAACAAAATGGATCCAGAGACATAGGAGCATGGAACTGACTGAGGGGTGGCGNTTAAAGATATACTGAATGTCTATATGTAAACATTGTATTTTTGTTTTAAAACATTAAATAAAACATATTTTAAATTGAATCTCATAATTTAATTGCACTTGTAAAATATTTTGCTTTAGTACTCAAGAACTTTCCACTGTATTTAAAGAAAAAAAAAATCTAAAATAAAATGGCAATGGGCTAATACTTAGAAGTTTAATGTAACTTGTTAAATGTTATTACTTATCTACATAAGAGATAAGTCAGATTAAGAATTTAGCACTTAGGAAGTACTTATAAAGGCTTACATTGTCACTTAAGTTAGAAAAATAAAACTAAAAGAGATTAAAATTTATCATAATTCATTGACAGTTCTGGGATTGAGAAAGAAAGGTGGTTAACAAAAATAAAAATATTCCAATACAAAGAAAACAGAGCAAGAGTCTTTAAATCCTATGTGTTTATTAATGACTTAATTGCACTACTTGTTATGAGGGTAACTTGAAAGGGGGATCCTCCTTTATCATTAGGATCAAAGTAGATTTCAGCCAGGGCACCTGAAGTGGTATTAATATACTCAAGGTCAGGGATACCTTTACAAGACAAAGATAAATGAACCCCTCTCACAGATCATTACAAGCATACAAGGAACACAGGTTATCATTTCTTTAAATGAGAAATGAGGCTGAGGAGGAGGAACGTACATAATCATTTATTTATTCCTTCTGTGAATGTCCTTACAATATGTATCTCCGAATAATCTAACTAAATATAATTATTTTGTGGAGGGGCTATCTCTCAAATTAATGTATTTCTAGTTGGAATTAATCACTGCTACACAATAATACATTTTAATTTCATGATTATAATACTTTGTGAGATAATTTTAAATGTATCTTTTAAAAATTACTGAGGACAAGATGAAAAGAAAAAGGGAAATTGTAAATATGACCAATCATTCATTACCAACATTCAAAAATTCCAAAACAATAAACAAAATAAACTGATGAACAAAGTGGACATAGAAGCCTGGAACAAACTGAGGGATCTCAGAAGAAAGGTGAGGAGGGGGTTGTGGGTGGGGAGATTAATTAGGGAACTTGTATGTTTATGGGCATGGCCCATGGACGTGGATATTGGTGCGAGGAGGGCTTGGGGGTGGGGTAGCTATGGGGTGGAGGGGATCAGTGGGGGGAAAAAGGAGGACATCTGTAATACTTTCAACAATAAAAATAAATTTTTAAAGAAAGGGAAGTTCCTATTTTCTGAGGAATAAACTCTTCAGTGGCATGCTAGGGAATATGAGGCTTCTTTGCATTGCACTTTATCTCTGCAGCTGTAGGACAGCACTGGGCTCTGTTCAGATGGTCTGTAAAGCTGGTGCTTTAAAGGAAACAGGTATAGCAGAATCTTTTTCTGGGTCTTACCCTTCTCTTAATCCCTGTGTTCTTCCCTCTTGCCTTTCTTTTCTAAAAACCTTCCTCCTCCAGTTGGCCAGTTCTACTTCTTAATCCGGAAGAGGATCCACCTGCGACCTGAGGACGCCTTATTCTTTTTTGTCAACAACACTATCCCTCCCACCAGCGCCACCATGGGCCAGCTGTATGAGGTAATGGTCCTGGTCACAACAATGCCCACTGGTCTGGTGTTCTCCAGCTTTTGTTCAGCTCATTTTGATAACACACCAGGGAAGTGGGACAGGAGGTGTTGTCTGTCAGGATCCTCTTACCCACGGCAGTGTGAGGCCCTCGGAGATTAGATACCACTTGTCCTTAAGGGATGGAGCGCGACTTGATTCAATCCCTTTGAATTCTTGGATTCAGTCCCTTTGAATTCTTGTTTCAGTCTTGCCTTGCCTAGAGTATTTTAACATGGGACTGTCTTTATTGAAACAGCAGGAAATGGCTTCTGATTGTGGAAATTTCATATAAACTGAAACTTTTAATTAAGGCACAGTCTTTAAATTCTCTTTAACAGAGACACTCAACTGGAGAGAATAATTTATGTGGTTTTATTTGGTTTAATTGGTAAACTGTCAGAATCTAATATGAAAAAACTAGAGTAAAGGTCTTTATCGTTCTGTATCACCATCACCTAAGAGTCATTCCTGAAAGGATTTCTTCACACAAGATGCTGATAAACTTCTGCTACTTCTAATCTACTTGTTATTCCATAGTGTATATCCCCTTTTAGTATATATTTCAACATGCATGTTTTGCCACATCTATGCTTTACTTGCTAGAGTGAGCTCTTAAAGGTAAGGACTATACCCTAGTCATGCATCTATCACTGATACCTGTGTGTATGATGTTCTCCATGAAGGTTATTTGTGAACTCAGAGTTGAATTCCAACCAATTCTGCATAATTGTTGTTCCTCCCTTTAATGGGGTCTATGATGCCTTCTGTGCCTTCTTGACAAGGTTATGTTATGCTCAGAGTCCTGGAGATAATGGATGTGATTGTTTTCTAACCCGTTCTTCTCTCTTCCCCTAGGACAACCATGAGGAAGACTACTTTCTGTATGTGGCCTACAGTGATGAGAGTGTGTATGGGAAATGAGTGGTGGAAGCCCAGCAGATGGGAGCACCTGGACTCGGGGGTAGGGGAGGGGCGTGTGTGGGACTTGGGGGAGAGAAGGGGGGCTCCCACCATGGAGGAGACAGAAGGTGAAGACATCTGGAAACACTGCACACACCATCATCATATTTTCACCTGCTCAATTGATATTTTTTGCTGCTTCCTCGGCCCAGGGAGAAAGCATGTCAGGACAGAGCTATGGATTACTTTTGCTCGAGGAATGGAGATGATGTAATTTCACAGCATTGCTGCGAATTTTTGTGTGATTTTTTTCGTAGAAGAGTCAGGAGGTGGGCACGTTGGGGCCAGAGATGATTGTGGACCAGCATCAACTTTCGGCTCTCCCTTCTCTTTGGGCAGAGATTCTCTTTTTGACATTTGCACAAGACAGTTGGGGGGAAGGAGATGGGAATATTTTAGGACGACTGGTAGTGGACCATTCCTGGGGACCAAAAGAGACACATTGTAATTAAAACATTGTATCCTATCTTCTCACCTCCTCTCTCCACCTCAGTCATGATCTCACACACAGACATCAAAGCACCACCCCAGGGGTGGTGGTAGACATCAGACAAATTTAGATGTAGCTCTCTTTCAGAAAATAGGGGCCAGTCGTGAAGGACATTGTGATGATGCAGATAGTTTTGATAGCATTAACTGGAATTGATGGTTTTCAACATCTCTGCCTAACCTGCTCTCTCTGGTGCCCCTTATCCCACACCTACTGTGGACTTTAATGAGCCTCAGCCATTTCCAGTTACAGACTCAATGGATGTCCCCCTCCCTTCTGTCCCTTCCCTCTCACACGCACAGAAATGCTAAGTGATAGCCAGCTGCCTCCCTCCTGGGGTTTTCATTTACTGCAGCTGTTAGGTAGGAAAGTTGGAGGGGATGACTTTTAGTAACTTGTGGGGATTCTGTTGATTCTGATGATTTTCACTTTAGGGGTTATTCTGGGTGGGTGGGGAGCAGGACTTGCACTCAGACATGGCATTTTAGTTCATCTAATGAAAAGCCTCCTTCCCATGGTGGGGGAATCTGTGTCAATCTGTCAGCTGCAGGTTCTTGTGTAATGAAGTTTATGCTGTCAAGCCAAGGAAATAAAGTAATTGTATACCTTAAAAACCAGCCGTGAGTTCAGAGCTGTTGCCTTTATTTAGTATGTATGAGAATGGATGGCAGGTGGAGGCTTGAGCAGAACATTTTGAGTGGGGTGGCTGTTAGCAGTGTTTGCTCATATGTGGTCAGATGTGTATAAGTTGACCAGGTGTTATCACCCAAAGGTGAGTGTGGAGGTGGGTAGTGTGGTGTGGTGATGGTAAGTGCGTGATGTTCTCCCTGCAGGTAAACGCCTTGTCACTGTTTTATGTGCTTTTCTAAGCTGAAGGGAAGACCGCCTACATCAGTATATAGGGGTGGTATTGGGGATGTGCTCATTAAGTGTGCAGATGTCTAAGCCTGGTGCCAGATCTAGCCCACTCAGTCTCAGCGTAGGCGCCTGCATTTTTAATCTCATGATTCTGCTGCACACTGATACCTGGGTTTCTCCTAAGTCCCAGCCAAACATTCCCTCCACACCTTGGTTAGAATGAGGCTCAAGCAGAAAAGGCACTTAGGTAACACTCCTGGGGTCACGCAAGCATGGTGTCTTCTAACCATTTGCGTCTACTCAGGTACCAATGTGTGGGTGGGAAGTTAGGTGCAAGTTATAAGACAATGAAAAACATGAGTAGAAACTGCTTTCTTAGCTTTAAAACCTATCTCTGACCCTCTAATCTTGCATCTATATCCCCAAATGGTGTCTACCTGTAGAGTTTTATGGAATATATTAATGTCACCAGAAAGGAAGTAGGTGATTATCAAAGACCCATGGCAGGACTACCTACCACCAAACCATGCCCAGTGGACTGATTTGAGAAAGTTAAGCCAGGACTGAGGGAAGGAAGAAGCCCAAGGCCAGCAAGCACCACATGAAGAAAATTGAGAAAAGCTTTAAGGCATTTTGATGTTGACATCAAAGCACTGGAAATGGACACCTGTCACTACTGACAGAAAAATTTTGAAGTGTTTCTGGAGTGCAAGGGACTGAGGGCCATCCCTAAACCAAAGAAGAGGTACTTTGAATTTAGAGCTTCTGTCTCCTTAGGAGGCCTTTGCTTATTTCAGTCTGATCTATCTCTAGATCTTTCTGTTGGAGAAAATTTGCCCTTGGGTGGGACATTACATACCATGTTAGAGCAGCCTTCTGATTTTATAAAGTTCAAATGACTTAGCTATGTTCAGAAGCAAAGGCAGGCTGGCTGTTTCAGGGCTCTGATTTGGACGTGATGCTCCTCCCTGAACCGCAGTGTCTCAGAGCCACTCCCATGTTTCCTGCTGGTCAAGCTTTGAAGCTTCTTGGTGCCTCTGGCCATTGTGAGTCAAGTCTCAGAGTAAAAGCAGTTTAGGGAATGTCTTTTCACTAATGGGGCCTGTGTCCCATGTAAGGTTGACTGACACCCTGCTACTTCTTTCTGGGAATCGAGCGTGAATGATGTGTCAGTCCCATTGCCCCCTGGAATCCAGTATGACATCACTGTCAGAGGTGAGTGAGTCTTTAGATTTTACTGTATGTTTTGGTAGAAAGATCTCATACCTCTGTGGGGTGAGCATACATGTAGGTTTGCCAAGGAGCATCTCCACTTATGCCTATTGTCCTGATTGGTTTATTTATGCTTATTTCACTGTTACAAGTTCCCCAGTGGGCAAAAATATATGGTCACTCTCCTTATACTTAGTATAAAATGGAAGCTTATTCCCATTATTGAGAGAGAGAGGAGGAGAGAGAATGCCTGTGCCATCCAGATACATCCTGCCCCAGTACGGCTATAACCCTGTGTGGGTGAGAACCAGAAAAAGAATGCCACTCTTGACTTGCAGACTGCCATTTTGTTACCCAGTGCATAATTGTTTCCTTCCTATAAAGTACTGTGCATTTAAAAAAGTTTATAGACTATTGTGAAATCAGAGGTTAAGATTGCAAAAGAACAAAACAAATGGTGGGTAACTAGTGAATAGTGGTCACTAGGCAGACAGGTGCACTGCCCAGGGGGCACCATGCAGTTTCGGGGGTAGACAGTGCTCCCCAGCATGTGTACAGGCCTCTGGCTGTGGCAGTGCCCCTTTGGTTACAAGGTTGCCAGTGTGCCAGTTGCTGTGGAAATGTTAAACTTAGTAAGCACATAATTCTATGTTGTATTTGTATCATTAAGCACCACATATCTAATAGGACTGGTATAATTTTGAGGTTTTGTGTGTGGGCTGGGGCATGCTGTACACTTGCCTATGGATTCAGCACTAATGTAGTCATTTCTGGAAAATAAACTAGTTGACAAATTGGTTTCAGCCAGTTTTTACAGAAGACTTTAATCAACTATTTCTAGCTGTGTTTTCTTTCAGATATAATTTTACTCTGAGAGATTTGGATGTGCTCCAAGCATTCATCTTTATGTTTTTGTTTTATTTTTGCTGCATGAAACCAGTTATTTTCAGGAATGGTTCCATTCCGTCCTGGAGTGGCCCTGAGCCCCCTTTTTAATATCACTGAGAGTGCTTGCCTGCTGCCCAGCTCCCCACCCAGGGCTTTGTTTACTTGGCTGTCACAATGCTAGGGCTGCAATTTGGTCAACTCGGCCTGTGGCATATTACCATGTGGATGACTCAGGGCTTCAGAGCTTGTTTTTCTCAGCTATTTTGATATTTACTTAAAACACACACACACACACACACCACACACCACACAACACCCAAAACAAAAAACACAGATTAGAGACCCTGTATCAAAAGCTGTAAGAAACTGGTAATGTCTAATTGCTCTTTTGATTATAGAACCATTAAAAAAATGTCCTTTATTCCGACAGTTACAGATGGCCACTTTGGTACTTTATAAATCCATACAACCAGATTCTTTTCAAAGTTTGAAGTACCGGGAAGTAGTCAGATGACATTTCGACATGCCCTTGCGCAGGTGTGTGTGTATTTCAGAGTGACAAAAGACTTAAGTCATTCTGCTAGTGTGTATTCAGCATTGTGGGCCATCTGTCCTGGCAGTTCTATTTTCAGCACAGCAGTATATTTATTCAAGATCCTATGACTTTTGATTAGAACTGTTTAGCACTTAAGATTTCCATAAAGTGACCCTGAGCTCTTAGACGGATGGTTGAAACACATTTTCTATTTTTACACTTCTAGTGAGCTCAACGTTGCTCACATCTCTCAACAAAAGCATGATGATTGCTTATTGCTTGGTATCCACAGAATAAAAGTAACAAGCAGCTCTATTTTAGGTACTAACTGACTAATTTCCTACCTGAAGTCTACTCCAAGCACCCTTTTTAATATTGCAGCTCCCTCCTCCACTCGCCGCTCCCCCACATTTCCTGTTTTTTGTTTTAGTAATTATTTTAATCCTCATAGGAGGATATTTTTTCCATTGGTTTTCAGAGGGAGTGGAAGGGAGAGAGAGAGAAACATCGATGGGAGAGACACATCGCCCTCCAGAAGGCGCCCCAACCAGGGCCAGGGATCGATCCCACAACTGAGGCACATGTCCTCTGTCGGAACTGAACCCTGGACTCCAGTCCAGGGGCCGATGCTCTAACCACTGAGCAACACTGGCTGGGGCCCCTCATTCCTGTTTTGCTTTGCTTTGTCTTTTTTGCTTAGCACTAATCACCTAACATTGTAAGTTTATTGCCTGCCTTCTTGCTGGATTTGTAAGCTCCACAAAGGCAGGAGCTCTGTTCACTGATTTATAGGAACTAGTCAGAACGGTGCCTGGCTTATAGATCATGCTCAGAATATGGTGAAAGAATAGTGGCTCCTGACAGCACTGAAAATTTCAGTTCAAGGACTAGGTCATTCAGTTCATTCACTAAAGGACTGAGACGTAGTCATAGGACTATAGATGCTTCTCCCTCCCCACACACTTTACAACTACATTACTAAGGACCATTCACAACAGTTTGTTTTACTGGGTACATCATGTCTGGCTATGGTGAAAAAATGACAAAGCATACCCAAAGGCAGACAAAACAAAAAAAACAATTTGAAAGGAAGAAATAGAGCAAATATCAGAAGCAGACATGGCAGAGATGTTGGAGTGATCAGACTGGGAGTTTAAAATATCTATGATTAATATGTTAAAGGCCCCAATGGATAAAAAAGTAGACAGCATGGAAGAACAGATGGGCAATATAAGCAGAGAGATGGAAATCCTAAGAAGGAACCAAGAAGAAATGCTAGAGGTAAAAATCACTGTAACAGAAATGAAGAGCGACTTTGATGGGCTTGTTAGTACACTGACCATGGCTGAGGAAAGAATCTCAGAGCTTGAGGCTATCTCAGTAGGAACTCCCCAAACTGAAAAAGAGGAAGAACAAAGACTGAAAAATCGAGACCATCAAGGACTACGGGACAACTACAATAGATGTAACACACATGTAAAGGGAGCACCAGAAGGAGAAGAAAGAGAACAAAAAAATATTTGAAACAATGACTAAGAATGTCTCCAAATAAATGTCAGACACTGAACCACAGATCCAGGAAGCTGAGAGAGCACCAAGCAGGATAAATGTCCCCCAAACTATTCATTTCAGTGATGTTTTCCATGGTATGGCAGATACTTTGCATTTGTAGTCCTGTGCTGTTAATTACTGTTTAACATGTTTGTATTTCATTCCAACCAGATTAAAACCTTTATCCTAGGTGGCCATCTGCCTAGCTCAAAACTCTATTACTATGGAAGCAGAGCATAAAGGATACTCTTCTATGAACTAGCTCCTAATAAGTCCTTTAATACTCTTGGAAATTTGCAACATAATTCTCGGTGCAAGTACAA